TCTACCTTATTGCCAGTGATTTTGAGCATTTCTTCAAGTTTCTGTTGGACATTCAAATGTCCTTCTCTGTGAAAACTCTTTCCATGTCTTTTGCCCATTTTGTTATTGTGTTATCAGTCTTTTTCTTCTAGAGGCCCAAGATTATTTTACTTTTGTTATGAGACACTTGCCTGGAATGATATTGACAAATGTTTGTTCACAGTCAGTAGGTTTTACTTTCACCTTGTTGGAAAAAGTTTTTGATGCATACAGGGATTTAATCCTGAGTAGGTCTCTTCATCAATTTTATCCTCTTTACATTGTGATTTTCTGGCTGTATTGGGTAGTCTCTTTATACCATAGACTAGGCCTTCTAAGCTTGATCCCAGTTTTTCTCTTATAAGCTTTATGGTTTGGGGTTTTATTCCCAGGTCTCTGATCAACCTTGAGTTGATTATTGTGTATGGTGTGAGATGTGGATCTTGTTTCAGCTTTCTACAGGAAGCATTTTGTCAGCACCATATATTGAAAAGTTTGTCACTTCCCCATTTGACAGGTTTTATTTCCTTGTCAAATATGAGTTGACCATAGGTGGCTGAGTCAATTTCTAAGTTCTCAGAGGTTCCTTTTTCATTTTGATCATATATGTATAAACATGAGATCATACTAATGTCTGTCTACATTTAAAAGTCATAATTTACCTTAAAACTCAAGTGGGATTTCTTTCATTAAAAAATTGCTACCACCACCACTGAAGTATTTTTCTACTTACCTGTGTTGTAGGGCACTGTAGGTTTAATATCGTTGAGGGACTAGCACATTTCAGAAAGTTAAGGTAAAACAAAATGGGCTTGTTCCTGTTAAGAAAGAAAATAAGATCAAATAATCCTTTTGGTGATTGTAGAAATATCTTATATAATTCTAGACAGCAAGAATTTTAATATAATATGATTACCCCTTAAAAATTGGCTTAGTTTATTGAAAAAGAAGTAACTCATGAAATGTTATACAAAATGGATGACACTAGAGGACATTATGCTGAGTGAAAGATCTCAGTCACCAAAGGACAAATATTGCATAGGGCCACTGTTGTAAAACAGGACTGACATCAGGGTTGAGCGAAGACAGTAAAGGAGGGGAGAAATGATGTATATTGCATTGAAACAGATGAGGGAGAGAACCATTTAAAAGGGATATATGAATGGGTATTCTTGTCATTACAGAAGTCCAGAGTGAAGGGCTGCATAATGGAGTGGACTTGGGGGGAGGGATTGCATAATAAAAGAGGGGTTTTTTCCTTTTCAAGGAGAAGAGTGAATTGGGGGGAAGGGGTGGGTAAGGAGAAAAGTGCCACAATGAATGACTGGAAACACTAAGTCTCTGTAAATTTGCATTAAAATGAATTAAAAAACAAAACAAAATTGGCTTAGTTTTTTTTTTCTTGAAGAATGTATTACATTACCCAAGTCCTGTTTAAGCTTCTTAATATTGAAAGCACTTTTCAATAGAAGCAATAAATAAATAATCAAATTTTTCATCAAGAGAGGATTGTTCAAATAAAGGATTGTATAGAAAAAATGTTTTATTATAGTTATACAATGTTGTGATTAAAACAAAATAGTTTGCATGAAAAATAAAAAATAAAAATAAATGCTATTATACTGAATATCTGTTTTGTCATGGGTTTTTTACATTAAAAAAAGAAAAGATTTTTGCTCATAAAATGGACTGCATTATCATTGAAAATAGTGTTGAAGGATAAGTTTAATGTATAAGAAAATTAAGAAATTAATTTTAGAGAGCAAATTAATAAATATTAAATAA